CTAACAAAAAGAATTGATGAAGATAAAAATGCATCTCTGAGACTCTCAGCAAATACAAAAAAAGAAAAAACTGTAAGGCGGCGTGGCCCAATGGATAGGGCGTCTGACTTCGGATCAGAAGGTTGTGGGTTCGAGTCCCATCGTCGTCATTATAAACATATATAAATATATGTATTAAAAGAGACAAAACCCTCAACGAAAAACCATTTTTTAACTTAAAAATAACATTATTAGTGCCTAAATAAAAGCAACAACAATATATAAACAATAATAATAATAATAATTATTATTATTCGTTTTTATTTTCTTTTAACACCCACTTGAACCACTCTTCTAGGGACAACAAGGCAGTGGCCTCGCACAACAGGTTTGAGGTTTACAGTTGCATAAGAAAGAGGAGACAGCAGAAAAATTTCATTTCTTGGGATTACCCAAGGCCCAAAAGGAAGGTCTTCTTTAATAATGCCTTTGCATAAGAATGAAGAGAGGCTACTCTTCAACGTAGGAGGCAAGGGCATTTTCATATTATTATACAAAAAACAAATCAAGAAAAATATCTTTATTCAATATATATATATATATATATATATATATATATATAAACTCTTCTTTTTATATCTCCTCGAGTTACACCTCCTTCTTTGTAGTGTCTACAATAGAAGGTGACTGCTGCAGCAATGCTGCTGATCCCTTCTTCAGCTTCAATCTTCGAAGAGACAAAACAAAATTATTTCATGCAGCTGAGACGGCTGCTTTTTCAAGAGGTCCGTCTGTTCGCTTGCTGCAGCAGCAACAGCAACAGCAGCAGCAGCAGCAGCAGCAGCAGCAGCATAAGCAAGCTATTATTACCCAAGGTAGGGCCTTGTGCTTTATACACTACCTAATTATATTAAAGAGGCTGTGTGCGATGATAACTTTTTTTTAATTTAATAATATTTTGAATGGATTTAAATCTTTATTCTTATTCTTTTATCTGTTATTCACTTCTTAACAACTTTCAGGTGTACGTACACCTCAGAAGGCACGTGCCGCAGCAGCAACAGAGGTGTTGATTTAATAAAGAAAAAGAGTTACGTTTTTTTGTTTTATTTCTTTTAAATATCTTTTTAAAGAGACAAACACACTAAAATATCCTAACTTCAGGGTCTAGGGTTTAGGGTTTAGGGTTAGCCGCAGCGATAGCAGCAGCAAAAAGGCGGTAAGTAAAACCGTTGTCTGCTATAAATATAATAAAATATATTCTATTATATTTATATAAATATAATAAAATATATTTTATTATATTTATATAAATATAATAAAATATACTATCATATGGAGGGATTAATATAAAAAGAGATGCAAAAAAACAAACACCGCTATACTCATCTACAGACAGCAACAAAAAAAATAAAAATATATAAAAATAAATAAAATAAATAAATATAATCTGTCTCCTCTTCAGTACACCTCTTAATTCCCAGTTAAACAAACAATTATTATTATATTGTTATTTCTTAGGGTTTCGTAGACTATACCTAAGTAAGTATTACTTTTGTTGGGGTTTATTAAGGACAGTAGCTCTCTTATATATATATATATATATATTTATTTATTTATGTTTATATGTTTATTTATAGATTTATAATATCTATTAATGCATCTATGCATATACTCATCTATCTTTATATATCTACATGTATGCCTATTAACATATTTATATATCAACTTACACATCTATATATATACATATATATTACTAAATATATATATATATAGTAATATATATATTTAGGTATATGCTTGTTTCTGCCTCTCGCGTTGCTGCTGTCTGTCTCTGTTTGTTTTTCTCTGTTTTTGTTTGTCTCCTTGGGGATTAATTGCTGTCTCTCGTTGTCTCTATTGCCCCTAAACCCTAAACCCTAAACCCTAAACCCTAAACCCTAAACCCTAAACCCTAACATCCCAAAGCCAGCTCCCAACTTGATTATCTTTGTACCCTAAACCCTAAACCCCGACCGGCTTCTGATCGAGGGTTTAGGGTTTAGGGTTTTATAAACCGTTTAAAGAAAACACAAACACAGCACAAACCTCTTAGCTGTCTTTTTGCTGAGCTGTCGCTGCCGCTGCTGCTGCTGTTCTTGCTGCTGCTGCTGCTGTTGCTGCTGCTGCTGTTGCTGCTGCTGCTGCTGTTGCTGCTGTTCTTCTCCCCAAACTACGGGATACGAAGTACCAGCAGCAGCAGCAGCAGCAGCAGCACCAAATTCATTAAACAAAGTACCAGCAGCAGCAGCAGCAGCAGCAAATTAAATAAAAAGAGCATAAAAAGAGCAAGGCCTAGAGCTGCATTGGGGTGACGGTGACGGCTCCCTTCCCTGCACAAACAAAACCCGAAAAGTTTGTCTCTGCCGCTGCATCTCAAGCTCCTTTAGGGTTTAGGGTTTAGGGTTTAGGGTTTGGCGGGCATTGCACCCACAGCGCATGTCCCTCAGCAAATACAGACAAATGTCTCCTGTCTCCT